GGGTTTGGTTCCTTTCATGAAGGAAGATGGTCTGGACTTTTAAGAGGGTCTAAAATATCCCTTTTCCTGGTATATAAGACTTTGCTTCCTTGAAAAGATCTATTTCTCTCTGATTTGCCCGAAAATATTGACACGGTCTTCTTTCCTGGGGTAACAACCTCGACTTTCCTACCAAAACCCTGTGAATGGCTTCCTCAAGGGTCTTCTCAAAAAGCAATTTTCCCAGGAAGGGAATAGAGCAAAGACCTTATTTGGATGAATTATTCACCAACTAGTGCTTAGGCCACAAGGCACCGAATGGGCCATGAGTCTGACCATCATGTGAACTTGATCTACTGCCCCCTCTGCAATAAAATCAGCTGCCAGTCATGAAAGGGATTTTTCTTTAATGACCACTGGCAGGTTTAGGCCCCTGTTGGATCCATGAGGCTGCTCTCTGGGAGGAAGAAAAATACACATGCACGCCAGGTCTTCCAGAGGGCAATCTGATTCTTTATTCACAATTTCCTCCTTTATATATGGTAAGTTGTAACAGGAGAACATAGAATGGAATTTCACTGAGTAATTTGTTAAGGCTATGTACGTGACATCTGGCACAATTCATATCGCACAGATCTTGAATCAATTACAAGAAACCAATAGTATTTTCCCTTAAAGCAGAAGTGGTTAACTTTTAACTATATCATAGCAGAAGCAGGTGCTGTTAGTACAAAGAAATAATTTGTTACTTTTCATGCCTTAAGCAAAGCTAGATTTAAAAAGGATGAGTGGCTGCAGTTCTATAGCATGTAACTGACACACACACAACTATACATTTGATTATCTAGACAAAATATAAAATAGAGAAACAAAATGGAATATATAAATAAACAGAATGTAGGACGAGGAACATACATTTCCCTTCAATCCCCTCTTAAATCATTATTTACGTATATGATTTTTATCCCCTCTTTTATAACATAGTTCTTTTGCTTCTTTATGTATTTGGCTAGATAACTGTGGTACTCCTTATAGCCATATATGACCTGAACAGCGCCCAGGTCTTCTGGAGAGTATATGCAGTTAGTCACTATCCATATTGGGGTAAACACTAAAAATGTAATCAATCCCAGCAGAAGCCATAGTTTGCTAGTTTGGCTAGTAGAATGCTCATCTTGTTTATCTTCAGAGACTTTGTAACCGACTCACTCTTCGAGGATTTGTCACCTGCTTCACCTCCTTGTCGTGAGCTTCCTGACCAGCTCCTCTGATCCTTTTCACTCGGCTGGCATGGATCCAGGCTTGCTGACCTTCTACTAGGACAGCAGTCCTAGTCACTGCGATCACTCTGGTCTCTGGTCCGAATGGGTATCCGGATTTTCTGTTCTCGGCTAGTTGTTTAACCACCATGTGATCCCCGACCTGGAATGGGTGCGTTGGTACCTGTGAATCAGAAGGAGAGGTGCGAGCAACATTTCTTTCAACCATATCCAAAGTTTCAATCAATTTACGGACATACTCTTCCCTAATCTGCTCTAGATCTCCTGATTCTAGCAATAGTGGTGTTCTAGCCCACGGGGTGGGGAACCGTCTCCCCATCAATACTTCAAACGGAGAATATCCCGTCATTTTATTCAGTGTCATCCTGATTTCTGCTAATACAATTGGAAGTAGCTTTGTCCAGCCGACAAAAGTACCCCCAGTTGCTTTCCTCGGTTTATCTTTTACAGTCCTGTTCATTCTTTCTACAATCCCTGAACTCTGTGGGTGATAGGGAATGTGGAATTTCCACTCGATTTTTAGGGCTCTCACTAGTCCCTGACAAACGTTTGAGGTGAAAGCAGGACCATTGTCTGAATTGATCTGTAGAGGGCACCCCCATCTAGGAATCATTTCCTGTGTGAGGATACGGACAACTGTCTGGGCATCTTCCTTTGTAGTCTTGAAAGCTTCTACCCACCTAGAAAACACATCTAAAATCACCAAAAGATATTCTTGCTTCTTCCTATCTTTGGCATGTGTGTGAAATCAATTTGAAGGTGTGTGAAAGGAGTGGTAGGGTATTGTAGATGCTCATGCTTAGGCTTATTTGGTATGTTTGGATTATTACGGATACAAACAATGCATCTGGATACAAAAGCCTTCACTAATTTGGGGAGACCTGCAATGTAGAAGTCTTGTAATAAAACTTCACAGGTGTTTTGCCAGCCCCTATGACCTATTCCGTGATATTGTTCTATGAATAGGGGAGCACTAGCTGCAGGGATGCATGGCTTCCCCTCTTTGAGAAAGAGGCCTTTCTCACCTTTTTCTAAATCCTCCCCCGCCCAATCATTAAGATCTTGTTCTGATGCATATGTTTGGAGACTCAACAAGGTACTGTCCAGAAGTGTGATCTCTGGGGTCAACATAGGCATTTGTATTTCAGCTGTTTGTGTGCTGGCTGCTTGTTTTGCCGCTAGATCTGCAAGTGCATTTCCTTTTGCAATGTCAGTTTGTTCTCCCGTGTGTGCTTTGCAATGAATGATTGCTAACTTATTTGGCAGTTGGATAGCATGGAGGAGGTCCTTTACTAGCGTGGAATGTGAAATGCTCTTCCCATCAGCAGCTACAAATCCTCTCGTAGACCAAATTACCCCAAAGTCATGTGCTACGCCAAACCCATATTTGGAGTCAGTGTAAATGTTTACATTCTTTCCTGCAAAGAGCTGACAAGCTCTTGTAAGTGCTATGAGTTCTGCAGCTTGGGCAGACTGATAGGGAATTGCTTTGCCCTCTATGATTTCACCAGGCAGTTTTCATACCGCGTAACCTGCATGATAGGTGGTGTCATTGGGTCTGGAGCAGGACCCATCTACAAAATCATCTTGGGCATCTGCGCGGCAGAGGACAAGTCAGGGCGAGGAGAGGTATCCTGGTGAATCAGATCAATAGAATCATGTCGGGGAACTGGCTCATCTTCCTCCCCTTTTAAGCCTAACAGAGCATTAATAATGGGAGCAGACCTGAGGTGGCTAATGCATATTTAATAGTGAGATTAGGATTGGACAGCAAAATGACCTCATAGCCCAGCAATGGGCAAACTACGGCCCGCGGGCCATATACGGCCCGGCGGACCTTTTAATCCGGCCCGCGGAGCTAGGCTCCTCTCACAGTCCGCCCTGAAGTCCCCAAGTCCCCCCTGTGTCAATTCACTTACCTTTGCTCCGCGCGTTCCTCTCGCCGTGTCCCGCGCCGTTCCGGTGTAGCATGAAAATCTGTCTCCTATGAGGATCTGTCCCCCTCGACGTATCTGCGCATGTGCCGGAGATCGCCGATTGGCTGCTAATGCCTGAAACTGGCACATGCGCAGATACGTCGAGGGGGACAGATCCTCATAGGAGACAGATTTTCATGCTACACCGGAACGGCGCGGGACACGGCGAGAGGAACGCGCGGAGCAAAGGTAAGTGAATTGACACAGGGGGGACTTGGGGACTTAATATGGGGGATGAATTAATATGGGGAATGAATTACTATATGGGGGATGAATTACTATATGGGGGATGAATTACTATGGGGGATGAATTACTATATGGGGGATGAATTACTATGGGGGATGAATTACTATATGGGGATGAATTACTATGGGGGATGAATTACTATGGGGGATGTATTACTATATGGGGGATGAATTACTATGGGGGATGAATTAATATGGGGGATGAATTACTATGGGGGATGAATTACTATATGGGGATGAATTACTATGGGGGATGAATTACTATGGGGGATGTATTACTATATGGGGGATGAATTACTATGGGGGATGAATTACTATATGGGGGATGAATTACTATGGGGGATGAATTACTATGGGGGATGAATTACTATATGGGGGATGAATTACTATGGGGGATGAATTACTATATGGGGGATGAATTACTATATGGGGGATGAATTACTACGGGGGATGAATTACTATATGGGGGTTGAATTACTATATGGGGGATGAATTACTATATGGGGGATGAATTAACATGGGGGATGAATTACTATATGGGGGATGAATTACTATAGGGGGGATGAATTACTATATGGGGGATGAATTGCTATGGGGGATGAATTACTATAGGGGAGATGAATTAATATGGGGGATGAATTAATATGGGGGATGAATTACTATGGGGGATGAATTACTATATGGGGGATGAATTACTATGGGGGATGAATTACTATATGGGGGATGAATTACTATGGGGGATGAATTACTATATGGGGGATGAATTACTATGGGGGATAAATTACTATATGGGGGCTGAATTACTATGGGGGATGAATTACTATATGGGGGATGAATTACTATGGGGGATGAATTACTATATGGGGGATGAATTACTATAGGGGGGATGAATTACTATAGGGGGGATGAATTACTATGGGGGATGAATTACTATAGGGGGGATGAATTACTATATGGGGGATGAATTACTATATGGGGGATGAATTACTATGGGGGATAAATTACTATATGGGGGATTAATTACTATGCTTACTATGGGGGAATATTACTATACTTACTATGGATGACACATACACATAATTCATCTACTCTTGGTCCGGCCCCCGGGTCCAATATATGAACCCATTGCGGCCCTCAAGTCAAAAAGTTTGCCCACCCCTGTCATAGCCGCTCAATCTCTGGGAGGACATGTGCTGAGTGTGTATATTTTTCAGCAAAATAGCTACATTATGTGTAGTGTGCAATGTTGTAGGATGCCCTAGGGCAGTGATGGCGAACCTATGGCACGCGTGCCAGAGCTGGCACGTAGAGCCATCTCAGTGGGCACGCCAGGAAGAAGAGGAAAAAACGCGCTCTCCTGCGCACCCCCGGGGGTGCGCACCGGGCGATCTCCGTGATCGCTGCTACGGACACAGCTGTCCTACGGACACAGCTGATTACGTGACGTGGTAAAAGGTCAATCACAGCAGCCTTTTACCACGTGATCAGCCGTGTCCAATGACACGCTGATCACCGGGAAATGCAAATGCCGGTTCTCGGCTGCACTTTCCTCGCGCTGTCAGATCGTGAGAAAAGTACTGCCGAAAACCGGCAGTTGTCAGAGCAGGGAACGGCACCGATCATCAGGGTCACTGATCATCAGTGCCCTGATGATCGGTGCTCAGCAGTGCCACACACAAGTTCCGCCCACCTGTGCCCAGCAATGCACCCACCTGTGCCCAGCAGTGCGCCCACCTGTGCCCAGCAGTGCACCCACCTGTGCCCAGCAATGCACCCACCTGTGCCCACCTGTGCCGCCCACCTGTGCCCAGAAGTGCCACCTACCTGTGCCCAGTAGTGCCACCCACCTGTGCCAACCCACCTGTGCCCACCAGTGCCACCCACCTGTGCCCACCAGTGCCACCCACCAGTGCCCATCAGTGCAGCCCAGCAGTGCTGCCAGTCAATGCCACCAGTCAGTGCCCAGTGGTTGTGCCAGTCAGTGCCCAGCAGTGCCGCCAGTCAGTGCCCAGCAGTGATGTCAGTCAGTGCTACCTATCAGTGCTGTCTATCAGTACCCATTATCAGTGTCGCCTATCAGTGCCACATATCAGTGCCACCTATCTGTGACACCTCATTAGTGCTGCCCATCAGCGCCACCCATCAATGATGCCCAGCAGTGCCGCCGGTCAGTGCCGTCTGTCAGTGCCTCCAGTTGGTGCTATCAGTCAGTGCCGCTTATCAGTGCCCATCATTTCCTGCATATTAGTGCATCATCAGTGCCTCCTCATCAATGCTCACCAGTGCCGCCTCATCAGTGCTACCTATCTGTGCCGCCTCATCAATGCCCATCAGTGCTGCCTATCAGTGCAGCCTCACCAACGCACATCAAAGAAGAAATATTACCTGTTTGCAAAAATTTTAGAATAGAAGCAAAGGAAACCTTTTATGTTTTTAATTTTTTGCTCTTTTTTCATTTATAGTGCAAAAAATAAAACACCCAGTGGTGATTAAATACCACCAAAAAAAGCTCTATTTGTGTTGAAAAAATGATAAAAATTGCATATGGTTACAGTGTTGCATGACCGCACAATTGTCATTGTTAAGTGCAACAGCACTGAAAGCTGAAAATTGTCCTGGGCAGGAAGGGGGTAGAAGTGCCCTGTAGGCAAGTGATTAATTCCAGTGTTGGCACTTTGAAATAAAAAAGTTGGTTTTGTGTTGCAGTTTGGGCACTCAGGCTCAAAAAGGTTTGCCATCACTGCCCTGGGCTGTGCTCTGCGTCAACAGGGACGCTAAAAAATGCATTTGCTAAGTCAAATACTGAAAAACACACAGCATCAGACGGTATGGCCGTGAGCAGAGATGGCACATCAGGCACCACGGGGGGCGATGGGAACCACTAGGCTATTTATTGCCCGCAGGTTCTGGACAAAACGATAACTGCCATCACTTTTTTTTACTGGATTTATGGGCGTATTGTAGGGAGATATTATTTCCCTTAAAATTCCCCTCTCTAGGAAGTGTGTAATGATGGGTGTCATTCCTTCCTCTTTCTCTTTAGACAGAGGGTATTATTTGTGATAGATGGGGCTTGTCCCCTGTTTCAGTGTGACTCTATACGGTGTGCAGTCTATCTGTCCTACATCCAGAGAGCCATTACTCCACAGCCGCGGGTCAATGCTCTCTGGGAGGGGGACCTCCTCCGTCATTACATAAAAATTTGGATTTATTTCATCTGGGGTGTATAGCTGCATTTTTTCTGACTTTACCATCAGTCCTCCTTGCAAGGAGGCTGCTAGCCCTATTCTGAGTTTTCCCATTAAATCTCTTCCCAAGAGACTCACTGGGCAACCGGTGATGATTCTGAAGCTGTGCCATATAGTGGTGCCTTCCCCCGCTGGGTCTGTTATAGGTAAGGGTGGTGTTTTATAGGTCTTAGTGGGGATCCCATTAATTCCCATAGAAGGTTCAGCGTTCACAATTTCCCCTCTCCAATATTCCTTGGTGATAGGTTGCTATCAGCCAAAAAAGGAATGTATCTGTCATTCACACAGAGTGAGATCATAGGTTGCTCTTTGTAATGGAGAGAGACCATGGGAAACGCTGGGTCCCCACCTTCTGGGCAGCTTCATTGGTGATCGTTTGAGTTCCAGTCAATGGGGAATTTAACCTGAGGCCTGGTAACAGGAGTAGGGGGGACGGGGACGGCTTTTTGTGATTGACTGTCGCTCTGCCTCCTGTCTTCATAAGGGCAGTCCCTTTTCCAGTGATTTGGGTCCCCACAGTTGAAACAACCTGCCCTGGAATTTGAACTATCCCTGGTTGAATACCTTTGCCCTCTCCCTCTGGGGTTGTATCCTCTCCCCCTTCCTCTGCCTCTGTTCCCCTGATATCCCCCTTGGTAGTGGACTGGAACCATCTTTTCCTTAGGAATTTCAAAACATCCCGCGGCATCCTTTTCGGTTATTTTAGTTTGCATATCATCCATGGACAAGGTTGCCCACTCTGATATTTGCTGCTTAACCATCAACATATATTGGGGCTTTAAGTTATTTATATATGTTTGAATCGTACCCAAAATTCAAGCACTGTCTCTCCACTCTTCTGTTTTCATGCTACGGCCGTGGGTAATGAAGATTTAGCCTTAAATACCCGTGTCATTTCTACCTCTATCTCCTTCCATATAGTATTTATGCCGTCTTGTGTATTCAATGGATAGTTAGTGGCGGTAGTAGTATCTAAGGCTGTAGGTGTATTAATGCTTGAGACATTTGCCCAGTTCCACTGGGAGGTAGTACCAACCAGTGAATCAATAAAAAGTCTGATATCCTCCTGTGTGAAATTTCTGCCTTTACATGCTTTCTTCAGGTATGCTAATGTTCCCCCCGGTGTAGTAGTGGGTTTGGGACAGTGTTTTGTGATGCGGTCAATATCCTCTACCTCTAAACACTTGATTATTAGCGTGTCTCCTACTGTGAGGAATGGGAATTGCTTGGTCTGTGTTGCCGTTTTTAACCTAGTTCTGTCTGCCGGTCCAGGACTAAGGAGCTCTCCCAGTCCCATTTTGTTTGCCCAGTCTACTAATAGGGACCCTGATGTTCCTTCTGCTCCCTCGGCAGAAGGTGCCTTCTCATCTTGTGTGGAGTCAGGGATTGGGTGTTGTATACCTGGCGCCCCTTCAGGTGGGGGTCCGGGTTGGTCTTCGACAACTGGTAAAGCCGGAGCCCGAGGTGGGGCTGTGGGCTGAACTCGCTGTTGTGCGGCAACCGCCGTCAGAAAATCTACATCTTCCTTCGAAAAGGATGGGTAGATTTTGGGTACCCTTTCAGGACCTGGAACATAAGGTGGTGGATATATATTGGGTGCCACCATAGTCCTCTTGTTCCTGCTTTTCTTACTGGCATGTAGACCGGGTGCCTGTCTATCCTTTGGATTCTCTGTTATTCTTTTGCATATTTTAGCCAATTTTCTCCTCCTCCCCTCATGTATTCCTTATCCCACTGTGGGTCTCCCGGATAATATGGGAAAACCTCGGTGTTCCCTAGTCCTTTTATCATATTCATATGAAAAGTGTCATTATCTCCAGTTCTTGGGAATGGACTTGAGCTGCCCATTGCTTCAGTCCACCCTGCTAAATTATCCACCCATGGATTTACTAGGTAATTATCAGTCCCACGGACCCGAGCCACAAAATCCTTGTACGTCTCCCCTGGTTCAGGACAAAATACACTCTTACTCTTACTTTGCCCCATTTGTCTATTCTAAAAGATTTTACAGATTCAGAAGAAAAGAAAAGAAGAAAAGTGAAAGTGATTCACAGTGCTCGACTGCCAACTGAGTTTCCCTCAGATGCGTCTTCCCAAAACGTGAATCTAGTCACACATGTACCTTCTCGGATCGAGTGATCTGTGACCAATTATCACTCTTATCACAAAGAATATAGAAAGACAGAGAGAGAGAGAGAATACACAACTTTTCCTACTCTGTACCCTGAAGAGGACACTCTATAGAATAATATCCTTTGTTTCTAACCTGTCTTTTTAACTTCTACTGTGAGTTCCTCCTGAAAGTCTGTTGAACAATGTAGATTTACTTTCTCTACCTGTATCTTGGGACTACCTTGATCAAAGAAAAGGTCTTTTGCCTAATCTATATTTATATTCTTTTTCTACTTTACTCACAAGGTAACCTCCAGGAATATGATAACTAAAAAGTAGTCTGCATACACATTCAGGGCAAGTCATTTACAAAACATTTAATCCGTAACTACCGGTCCATACACTTACCACCTGGACATCGGTGTCACACAACAAATTATCTTATACTTTACGCGACAGAAAGAGATAAGCAGCAGAGTTTTCAGCAGCCCAATCCTACCAGTGTCAATATTTTCTCATTTCCTGGACATCCAAAGTCCCTTAAATACTTTACCAAAGTACATATAAATATTCTGGACATCCAAAGTCCTTAAAGTACTTTCCCAAAGTACATATACATTTTGCCGGCAAGTATCTGAAACAAACCCTTTCTCTAAAACATACTTCCCAAGTATGAGGGCATCAGAACTTGGCCAGAGCCTAGTCATGGTAAATATTAGAAATATGAATCCGAGAATACGATCCCCAAACTGAAAGGGATTTTTCTTTAATGACCACTGGCAGGTTTAGGCCCCTGTTGGATCCATGAGGCTGCTCTCTGGGAGGAAGAAAAATACACATGCACGCCAGGTCTTCCAGAGAGCAATCTGATTCTTTATTCACAATTTCCTCCTTATATATGGTAACTTGTAACAGGAGAACATAGAATGGAATTTCACTGAGTAATTTGTTAAGGCTATGTACGTGACATCTGTAACAATTCATATCGCACAGATCTTGAATCAATTACAAGAAACCAGTGGTATTTTCCCTTAAAGCAGAAGTGGTTAACTTTTAACTATATCATTGCAGAAGCAGGTGCTGTTAGTACAAAGAAATAATTGGTTACTTTTCATGCCTTGAGCAAAGCTAGATTTAAACGATGAGTGGCTGCAGTTCTATAGCACGAAACTGACACACACACAACTATACATTTGATTATCTAGACAAAATATAAAATAGAGAAACAAAATGGAATATATAAATAAACAGAATGTAGGGCGAGGAACATACATTTCCCTTCAAGTCACAACAGTTGCAATAGTGTAGAACCAGACCTCCTCTACACTTCTCTATTGGAGACCGTCTCAAACTCAGAAATCCGAACCCTTGGAGCCTTCGTCACGTATGTCAAAGC